TTTCAAACAAGGACTAAATTTTAAAGGGTTAGAAATCACTTAGTGTAAAGTAAAGTAGCCATTTCAAATATAATGACATAAAATGTCTGTGCAACACTTAATTAGGTTTTGCATAATTTACTGTGATTTTTCTAATGATGTGATCCCCAGGAGATGGACACCGAGAGTTCCTTTGGAAGCCTGTCCTGCCTTCAAACAACTCACAGTTGGGAAAGGAAGTGGGTGCTGAGGAGTAATAACTCAGTTGTTTGGAGAGGTTGTAGTAAGTCTAGTAAAAGTCACTTTAGCACAAAGCAAATGAATCACGGATTGATTAATGAAAGGAAGCAGTAAGCACAAATGGTGCCGACTTTCAGTACAGATGATGAGGAACATAACTTCCTTAAGAAAATTGCACATTGAAAAAACCGAGTTCATTTTGAAACTAGAGTCATACCTCTTTCTGGCACCGTAGTACCTCGACAACGTTTCCTTCTTATTGTAGCCCCTGTTCTTACGTTGTAACGTCAGAGTATGCTCAAGCTGAAATCATAAATTACAGAAAAGAGTTAGTGACCTCAGGAGCAGCCCGGAAGGGTCATGGGAACTTAGCAGCCTTAAGTGCATGTCCAGAGTGTGATGGCACATCAAAGCTATACTGACAGATTTAGGGCTGCCCATTGGCTTCCATGCCTCCTTGCTTTCCCTTCATCCTTTTTTACATTCCCAATGGGAGGGAGACTTGGAATAGGGACCGTGAGTAGTCACAGATGTTTGCTGATGTATGCATTCAGTTTTTGCATCCAAAGATGAACATAATATTTTAAAAATATTTATTTCTAGGAAATCATATTTTTCTATACATATTTAATTATAAAGCTTAAATAGGAAATAATTTGGAAAACCTCATCCAAGGACTTAGTTTTCTAGGAATAGGAATTAGAATATTAAACAAAATTTTCTTAATTTGCTTGGAGCACAATTTTGTTTAAAAGAAGAATGGATAATGGGGCTTGAATTAGATCCCCAGACTCAAAAGACTCAAAATAGTACTTGGTTTTGGTCACTAATTTCACATATATACTTCTGGAGAGCAATAGTTTTAGAAGCTTGGATACTTAAACTTTAAGGTGTGTGTGTGTCCTTTCAAAAAATTACTGTTATGAATCAAACAGATACAACACATATGTCAGAAACAGAAAGGCTTTCCTGAGGCAGTAGCAACCTGACACTTCTCAATTTTTGTTGTGTTATAGTGACCCTCATTCTTGTCTGCCAGAAAGATTCCTCAGAGACTGCCACTTTTTCTTTATGTGTGGTCCCAGTGTTAATAAAATAAACACCTTCTTCCAGTTTATTTTAGTAAAGTAGATGCAGGCTGGAACTTTCCAAAGGAAATCTTCTGACAAAAAAATGGAAGTAAAAAGAGAAAATAAAGGAAATTCAAAGATATAAAATGTGTTCACCCTGTACTTCGGCAACCATTTCTTTCGAGGTATTTCTAATATCTTCTCCTTCTTCCATTGTCCTCCCTTCTCCAGGTATGGAGTCAACCGTCGGAACCTGCTGTAGTCTGGTCAAGTGTCTGTTGCTGACTGAGAATTACGCAAGTTGGCTCTTAATTTTGTTAATCAGGTAGTAACTATTTTTTTTATTTGCTTCTCCCATGTCTTAACACACTGATAAAGATTCACTAAATGAATGTTAAATGTATAAAGTATTTCTAATTATAAAGTTATGCAATTCTGCTCATCTAACCTAGAAAGAAAATTTTGGCACTGTCATAAATTTTCGTTTAAACAAAACCAGAGTTTCTCCTTAGACTGCAACAAAAAGAAAGCTTACGAATTCATAAAATGCATATGTGAGAAGTGTAATCTTTCAAATTTAGCATACTAAGCAGTTATTCATTTTTGTGGTGGCTTTGCAATTATAATCTATATGCACAAATGAGTGTCATATTGTCTAGGACATAGTGTAGTGTTTTCTTCTTCAAGTTCACAATTGTGAGGAAATCCCATTTCCTTTTGAATTCTTTGATTTGCATATAGCAGGCATTCAGTACTCAGTGATCAAACATCTTGCCCCTCTTTCCCTTTTAATTTACTTGCAGACTCTTGTTTCTGATAGCAACTTCTGCCTGTATTAAGCGTTGCTATTTTTAACCACGTGCAGGGGAGGTGTTGAAGTAAAAGAATAATTATGCAATTTTTGTGTATATGTGTGTGTGCTGGGTATGGACCCCAGGCCCTTAACAATGCATGTAGCATGTATTCTACCAGCAACCTCATAAACAATTTCTCTCTCTCTCTCTCTCTCTCTCTCTTTCTCTCTGCCTGTGTCTGTGTGTAGTATATACATATGTCATGTATGTTGTATACATAGGAGTTAGATGAAGATATTAGGTGTCTTCTATCACTCTCTGCTTTTGCTTTTAGTCCCTTAAGGCAGGGTCTCTGACTGAACCCGGGGATGTGGCTTATTGACTGAGCTGACTCAGCAAGCTCAGGTAATCCTTCTGTCTTTATCCATCTACCCCTAGTCCTGGGGTTATAGGTGTGTGTGACTATGCCTGGATTTTTACATGGGTACAAGGGATTTGAACTCAGGTACTGACGGTTGTATAAGTGCACTGAACAATACTTGCCAGCTTGGATATATGATTCCAATTCAAATCATTCAATTCTTTTACTTGACTCATGTTCAGTCAGTAAATTTTATAGGGCCCTTATTTTTACAAAGTAAAGGGTATTTTCCCATAAGGGAGTATTCGCTTGCTAGACTTTGAATACATTAAAAGCAATTAAGAGAATAAATTAAGAGAGTAAATAAGAGAACTCAGAAATATTATAAGAACACAAGGACCCAACTTACTTGCTTATAGATTTTTAGATGTGACACAAATCTGTAGACATGTGTATATATAAATCAAATATGTATTATTTTAACCTACATAGTCTCCAGGCTGCTATCTTCCACTAAATGGCACTGGTGACTTTTTTATTTTTAGTAAAAGAAAATGTTGTTCTTGACCATCGTAACCCAATTTAATATTTCTCTTCCCTGATATGGATGTGATATGATACATTGTTTGTATGTTTATAATAATTGTACCTTTATAATGATCTTTATTTATTACTTTGTCATAGGCATCTGTGGTCACTCAATATAATACTCCTCATTACTTTTACTTGAGTTCAACTATCAAAAACAGAGCAGTAAGCACATTTTATTAGTTTTATATTTCCTGCTGGACCTGGTATATAGTGCATTTTAAATATTGGTAGACTTGAGTTAATCCATTTGCTGTATCATTTTATTATGTGTGTTCAAAATGAGAGAGAATTCTAGTATGGAGAAAAACCATGATTGGAAATTTGAAGGACTGGGTGCCAGCAGACCTGAACCATACCTCAGTTTGTGGTGAGTGATTAATTAAGTGATCTTTGAAAAAAACACTTCCTCTCTGTCAAACCGTTACTTATTTGCAATACAATAGGGTTAGATTTTATGACCTCTAAAGTCCCTTCTAATTTATCATTCAATAAATCTGTAAAGATCAGGACTATTTTTTTTCTCGAGGGCATGTAATATGTGATTTATAGCTGCAGTAAAGAACATGGGCATAAATTGCTTGCAACCTTGACTGTGTTTAGAATGTACTGGCTTGATCAGGCTTTTTAAAGGCAGCACATTAGATAGTTCTAGATATCATGCTGTTTTCTAAACTGCATGATAACTATTATGATTAAAAGTTGCTCTGCTTGCCAGGGCTCACAGATCCCCCTCTCTGTGCTTACCCCTTTTAAAGTTACACTTCTGATTTTGATGGTATGAAAATAGCTTTGATAACACATGCTTGTATACAGGTAGAGTATCTCTATACACCGAACTTTCTAAAATATGCTACACAATTGTATACATTCACTCTATAAACTTGAAGATAGTTCTGTAAAGTACATGTCACTGTTAGCCAAGTTTTACATTTGAGAATGCCGAGACAAGGAGAAACAATTAGCTTTGAAGTCCATTAAGCTCTGAAGTTATTATTGTTTGTTCCTTTTTATCATCCCCTGTATCAGGTGCCCATCTTGCTTGATCACATGGCTCTAGGGTTCCATGACTCATTATTTATCCACCCATATAGATCTTAGCAGTTGCTTGAAATGTACTTTTCACAGTTTATAAGAAAGAGGCTTTGGTTGCTTGGAAAGTATGTCTTTTCCTGAATGTGGACAATATTTGTTCTTGGGCCTTTAAAACCTAAATAAACAAATAATTTTCTTCCCAAGTATAAAAGGTTTTTTAAACTTTGTTTTATTTAAACTAAGTAGAATCAGTGATGTAAAGATTTCACATTTCACTTAAGACAACTGTTATTTCCTGTGTATTTCTGGAAAATTTCTTAATTTTCTGGGATCCGAAGTGCAGAATTAGGTCATTTTTAAAGGTAATTTTTGAGTTCAAATGCTAAGAAGCAAGCAAGCTTGCTCTCAGTTCTCTCTGGTCAATACAGTGGCTTCTGCCATCTCTGCAGTTGTCAGTTGGATCTGACGACCTTTGAAAATGCTTCTTGTAAGAAAGCAAAGCTATTTTTTGATTAAATAAATGCAATAAAAATAAATGTTTTTGTGTTCAAAAAGTGATTATGTAATGTATTCATCTTGCTTGATTGAGACAGCACATTTGTTGACTATTAGCTTCCTGTACTCCATTCCCTGACAACTGCCTTTTGCTTTTCTATCTTGTGAATGCGACTGTTTTAGGTAATTTGTGTAAGTGGAATTATGCAGTTTTTGTCTTTCTGTGGCTAGCTTACTTTACTTTGCATAATGCCCCCAGTATGCACCCATACCTTATAAAGTTCCTTCTTTTCTAAGGCTGAATTTTGCTCCATTTCAAGTAGTTACTGTCTTTTGTTATCCTTCCTTTTGCCAATGGAGGTTTTCAGTTATATTCTATAGTATTATTTATAATAAGTTCCTTGTTTTATGAAGGAAGACTGTTCTTTTCTATACTAACTGGGAAGAATGCCAACAGAGTCACCCACTATCACAAATTCTGTAGTTGAGTTTCCCGCATTGGGGAAATCACAGGGGTCAGCAATCTGGAGTGCAATGGATGAGTCTAGCCCTGGAAAGACCACCTTCTTGATCATTATGTCCTCCTTGGCAAGTAAGTATAACTACTTTGTACAGATAAGGCAAACCATTGTGTTTTCAAGAAAATAGAAAACAAACCTCAATTAATTTTCTAAGTAGGTAAGAAAAATAGAGATAGAGGTCAAACTATACCAGTCTTTGAATGAGAAGAGTTCTACATTTGGATCATAGTTGCATTTGTACTTAGTTATGTGATCTTGGGCAAGTGGCTTAATCTTTCTGATATTCTGTTGTCACTTATGAAAAAATAAGGTAACAAAACCAAATACAAGGATATCTCTGTCTCTGTATCTCTCTCTCTCTCTCTCTCTCTCTCTCTCTCTCTGTGTGTGTGTGTGTGTGTGTGTGTGTGTAAATGAGTATAAGTTGAGTAAAATCTAAAAGATGATCAAAAGAGGATAAAATTCGGTGCTGAAGAAGAAACATGAGGATCGACAAAATGACACAGGGGATACCAAAGTAGAAAAGCGACTTGGGGGAAAGATAAAAGGAGGGGCTAGGATTAGCGAAGGGGTGGGGAGGGAGATAAGGAGGGCGATAATTAATAAAACACACTCCGACAATGTGGTAATGATATTTAATATCATCTTTTAAAGTAATTAAACATAAACATTTAAAAAGATGGCAAAGGAGCCTAAATGATAGAAAAACCTGAGAATATAGTTGAAAGTTTGTTCCAAGGCAGGGACTTTTCTGTACTGAAAGAAGCTACTGAGAAAAGTAACAAGATTCCACTGAAGAAGAATCCAAGAGGAAAGCACTGTTGATCTGAAGAAGCAAGATGAACTGCATGTCCCTGAGTGTGGCAAAACCAGCAGTACAAGTAACGTGTCTCTCAGGCACACTTAACCAGATAATTGTTCTTAGTGGATAGGGTAAATTGGAAGTTAGCCCTGTGGCTATGTAAATAAATGGCACATGAAAGTTATAAATTGAATTAACATGCATTGGTCTGAATTGGCTTTGCCCACACAATTAAAAACTTATGGTCTAATCATAAACAGAATAATATGAAACACCCGTTGAAGCTTATCTAAATTAATCCAAACTGCTAGCTTAATTTTGCTAAATGTACTGAGATCCAGCTCAGTTTTTAATGACTAAGGTTTGATATTGACTCTCTAAATTTAGCTTTATTCTAGAAAGATGTTTATACATATAGTTTCAAGACAAGTTTATACTAAGTTCTAAAGAGTATTAACAAGAAATTAATCAGTTTTATACAGACAAACCAATTAGCTTGGTTTAAAACTAAACATAAAGCAAAGAACAGCAGCGCACAAATAATAATCCCAGAGAACCTAGACAACAATGAGGACCCTAAGAGAGACATACATAGATCTAATCTACATGGGAAGTAGAAAAAGACAAGATCTCCTGAGTAAATTGGGACCATGGGGACCTTGGGAAAGGGTTGAAGAGGAGAAGGGGAGCTGGGAGGGGAGCAGAAAAAAATGTAGAGCTCAATAAAAATCAATAAAAAACCCCTCCTCCCCTGAATAATAAAGCAATAAATAGTACAACTATATAGCATAGTAATTAAAGCGCCTATGTGTCTATCTATGTATTTTGACTAGTTTAATTGAATCTATTTAGGAAAGAGTATATCTTTTCTATCTTATGTTCTTAGCAAGTAAAACCCAGGGTTTAGGACACACTAATCCCTCACTAAGTATTTCTGTTTGGCATTCAATTGACAGTAGAAATCACTTGAGGATGACAACCAATTCTTATTGGTCCAGGAATAATACAGTAACTGGGTTAGCCCTAGCTAATTCTGTGCTATTCATATCTTGAATAAAGGTAAAGAAAGAAAGTTATGCGGATGTTTTCAAGTAGTGGGTAGAGTTAGATTTCTGAAAAACTTTGAAAAACTTAAGTTTGATAGGTGATGTTACTAAGGTTGCTAGCAAGTATATATGCAATTTGTTAGATACCAGTCAAGAATATGCTGATTAAAGGAAGGAGGATAGGAAGAAAAAGGAAGGACAGAGAGGAAAAAGAGAGAAGTAAAGAGAAGAGGAGGGGCAACTGAGAGGGAGAGGAAAAGAAAAGGGAGAGGAGGAAGGGAAGGAGGCAAGTAGGTATAGAATGCGAACTTCAACTTGCTTAGAAATTAGAAATACAAAGTTATTCATCATACTTTCTCCTATCTCAGAATCTCTTGATAGCCTCTAGCAAGAGTGTAAGTCTCACTCAATGATAACTTTTGAAAGAACTATAAGTATTTTATCATAACATCAGATTTGCTTCTCTAATGTGTATTCTACTACTATAAAATCCTACTCAAAGAGTAATCAAATAGTGTCATGCTTCAGGATTTCATGAGACTCCAAGACCAGACATGATCATCGAATGAGACATAAGGAACATAGCAACAAAATGATCCATAATGGCATATTTCTATACCCACAGATCAAGGCATTGCTTAATCCTCAAGAGAGAAACTTGTTTCAGTGAATGACAGCTAACAGTCTGGGCAGTGACAAAGGGCAAGAGACTTTGGGACACTCAGCCTTAAACAGGATGTCTTTATCAAACCCTTCTTCTCAAGGCTTTAGGGATCCACACAGAAGAGATTATAAGACTGTAAAGAGCCAGTGGTGGTGGATGGCTCCAAGCAAATAGCTTCTTCCAGACAGAACAGGACTAATACACATGAACTCACAGAGACTGGGTCAGCATGCACAGGGCCTTCACGGGTTTAAATCAGAAAAAGGCCCAGCCCTGAGAAAGGGAGGTGAACACAAAATCCCATCCCTACCCAAGAAGCTATTTGGAATTGATGTCTGGTTGTAAAGGAGAAAACAGTTTTCTCTAATGGAATGCCACCGGATATATACCATACTCCAGAGCAGGCCCCATGTCTAGGAGTAGTTGGCCAGGACAAAACAGACTCTTTTTTAATGAGCTTCCTGATTTGAATTGATATTTATTTTTATCTACTCTTTCCGAAGAACATGAAATTGAGTGGGAAGGATCTGGAAAGAGGTATGTGAGAAGAAAGAATATGATCTGAAAATATTGTCTGAATTTTTTTGTAAATAAAAAAGGGATGAAAACTGTTTCCACACACTATGAGGTGAAAGAGATCACTAAACAAGACAATGAAAATAAAACAAACAAATATTAGAATTTTAAAAGGAATCTCAGAGCTACTCAGTAAAAGGGAAGCTACTGGAAGAGGCTAGAAAAAAGGATTCAATGTTCATGAAAGAGGAAAAAAGACTGGAGTTGGGAAGCTACAAGTGGGGATCAGAGTAGAAGCAGGGTGGTAGAGATGGAGGGAAAGGAGGATCACTAAATCACACTTTGTTCCAAAATGTCATAACAACATTTAACACTTTATATAGTAATTTAAAAATTGACAATTAAAAATGTTTGGAATTATGCAGAAAGAATCTAAATTGGAGGTCTCCATCGGGTCCCTCACCTAGCAACATGGGGAATCCTGTTGAAAATGGGAAGGAACATTGTAGGAGTCAGAGGGGGATGGAGGACACCAAGAGAACATTACCCACCCAATCAATTAACCAAGGCGCATAGGAGCTCACAGAAACTGAAGCGGCAGGCACAGGGCCTGTATAGATCTGCTCAGGCCCTCTGCGTATATGTCATGGCTGTTAGCTTGGTGTATTTGTGGCACAGTGGGAATGCATGTAGCTCTGATTCTTCTTGCCTGCTTCTGGGGCTCTTTTCCTCTTGTTGGATTGCCTTGTCCTGTCTCAATATGAAGGCTTTTGCCATGTCTTACTGTATTTTGTTTTGTAGTGTTTGGTTGTCTCTTGGAGGCCTCCTTTTTTTGATGGGAAATAGAGGGGGTGTAGTTCTGGGGAGATGGGGAGGAGGCACAAGTTAAGAGGAGTTGAGGAAGAGGAAACTGGTCAGGATGTATTGTGTGAGAGAAGAATCCATTTTCAATTAAAAATGTTTATTTGGAATGATTTTTTTCTCTTGCTGATTAGAGATGGAAGAGCATCCAGAGATCATCCAATGGAACCCCATTTTTTTTATGACACAGAAAGGCAAAAGCATTGCTGGAAGTAGTAGAGGAAATTAGTGGCCAAGCCTGACAGGGAATGTTCTGGTGATCCTCTACAGCAGCACACGGTGAATGCTTCAAATGCCTCACCATTAAGACTTTTCTACTTTCTAGAGAAAGGTACAGATGTATTATCAAGTTAATGTACAATGTCATTAAAGATGCTGCAGTGGAAATATATAGATTCACAGATAAACAGGATAATATGCTTCATAATTATAATCCCAAAACTTGAAAAAGTGGGGAAGATTGTGAGTTCAACTCCAGTCTGGGCTATATAGTGTCTTTCAGGCTTACTTGGCCTACACAGGAAGTTCCTGTCTTAGAAAACCAAATTCCAAAAATTGAAAATGAAACATAATAAAATAATTTATGAGCAGTGACTATATTAGAAAAGTTTTTGTAAAAGTGAGTTGGAAGGAAAGCAGAGAAGAGAAAGAAGAATGAGTGAGGCACAGTGGTGTGACAGAACGTGTCACATTTAGTGGATATGGAAATTTGATTGAGCTGAATTGTAATGGAAATATATTGAAATATATCTGAAATTGCAGGTTATTTGTATGCATGTGCATATGTTCGGTAGTGTGGGTATGCTTGAATGGAGTAAGAAAATAAAAAGTGAGAAATCAATTTGGGGAATAATACAGGAACTAGATCACAGAAAGTTGATAAAGATCCTGAACACCATTCTAGAATAGTTAAGTTCATCTTGTAGGTAATGAGATGCTTACAACAGGATGCACACTGATAAAAGAATACCGGCAAAGGAAAAGGAAAATGTCTAAGCGTTGCAGCTGCATTATGGTTTACTGTAGCTGAAACTGAGGCAGTAGGTTCGACTATATTGCAAGTTCCTTAGAAACAGAGATTACATCTTCACATTTCCTCTTTCAACTACTTAATTTCTCATTTTACTTCCTCAGTTTGTCTCTTGAGTGGTTGGCAAAATCTTTTGTATTTGCAACAGAAACACATGCAT